GTTACTTACAGCTACATGTCTAAGGTTTCTGAACACTTCAGATATTGAGGTCACTGCCAAGTTTAATCGTGTCGCTAGTTTACTTTTTCTTGTGGTTGATGTGCTAGCAGGACTCAGACCGTGAACAAAGTCTGTTGGTTACTAGGTGCTGTCTTGTGAAGTCATTCCAAAACTGAGTCGAAAAGCTCATTACTCTTCTTTGGTGCATCCCATATGTTACCCAAATAGGACGAATACATGGATAATGGGGCATAAGAAAAACATTGCTGCAGCTTCTCTTTTTTAGTACTATATATTGGTATAAAATTTGATTTTTTCATTAAAAAGCCTAGCAGAGAGGAGTTCTTTATACACAGAAGCCAAGAAATGTAAACCAGAGAGGACGTCTTAGAGAGTGTTGTTAAAGTTGTGGTGGTGTGTGTGGTTCAACTACTTAAAGGACTTACTTTACTTATAATATGCACAGTACAAAAGGGGATGCTGAGCAGAGCTACCAAGCAGTGCAGTCAGATGCAAAATAAGGATAGATGTCAACAATCCCTTCCAGGATTCAAGAGCAGTTTTACTATTCATATACCTAGGGAATCTGTTTATAAATATTCTGCCCAGCCATACGCTGTATGAATGCTGTTCGCACGGCATTCCCACCACTAAATGGAGCCAAGGAGCATTCAATGGAGAGATGTTTTGCCTCCATTCACACCGTACTAATGTACATGCAATTTTGTCAAAGCAAATGGTTCTGCAAATAGTTTTTTAATACACCCCATAGTGCCCAGAACAAGAGAAGTGGTAATATGCAGCCTCCATCCATGCATAAAAACTAAGAACAGATTAATTACACCCAACAAGTGGTATTTTCTGCTTACTTTGTGGAACATTACTTTGTGGAGTAATATGAATTTAATGGGGATGAAATGTGAAATGCACTTTGGAGGAATGCCAGGGCTGTCTATTATAATGTAGCATCATAAGTAGGCATCACTTTGCACTAAGGAGATATCCGATCATGTAAAGAGGAGAAGTTAGAAGAAACAACCACTGTGTGTATCTCCTTAATTTCAACATTGTTCTGTCATAATAGAATTGTGCGTGTGGAGTTCATGGGGCAGTCTGCTTGTGGAAAGATGTCTGGTGCTAAGTAAAGTCCACTCGAAGAGTGACAGGCCCTGATATTGTGGCCTGTGATCTTCCCCTTGCCTTAATTAAACCTGGGGGCCTGTAAGAGTCAGGGAATTAATGGATAGAGGAGCAGGAGGACATCTGCAGGGGAAGACCCTGCCAAGCAGTTGCTAAATAAGTCTCATCTTGAAACAGTTTCCCTGCAGAGTATTTGGCTCTATTTGTACTTCCTTCCTTCCCGTACATAGAGGCTATATGAATTGCTTTAAAGTGTACCTCTATCCCAAACTTTTTCTTATTTAATTTTTGAACAATGTAGGGAATGGTTACAACTACTGTCAGTTTTTTCAACTTTATACCCAGTTGGGGAGTTTTCACTTTACTCGTCCCAGAGACTCAACAGGAAGTGAAAAAGAATCTCAGGAGAACAGGTACCACATTGGAATATTTTCCCTTACCTCCTGTTCTAGTGAGTGTGACGATCATAAAGTTTTGGATTTCCGACCACTAAGGGCTCCCGTATGACAGTCTTCTAATAAGTTCCAAATCCGGTTACTATGTGATACATAAGTCTTATAAAGTAAACAGAAGACGTCCTTGATCTTCCCTGACTGATTCAAATTCTCCTTCATTTGGGTCTCACACACTCCCCCTCCCAGACACTGTAGCTCACAATGGGAGGGTTTCAGCAACACAGACAATGTTGCCCATCCAGAAATCAGTGGGCAGGTCAGGCGATGATTGACAAGCTACAGGCAGGTCAATCACAGTGATAATTCTGATAACCATGACCCCTGCCACATTTTTTCATCCCACACTAGTGCAAGAAGGCACACAGGAGAATGACAATTCTGCTCTGAATTCAGAAGCAGTGCAGCATCATTGTCTCACCATCACAGAAAGCTACATGAGGTGGACTTCATTGGCAGGCTGTACAGGTATTTGCGAGACATTGCAGGGGACTAAGGGAAAACTGCGCAACTATATAAACATTCATGAAATTCATTGAATGTAGGTAAAGCTCAATTGAACTTTCAGTTTAAATTAGCTAAATACATTCCAGGTGTATCAAAACAAAAATCTTATAGTTGATTTTCTTCACAAAGCAGCCACAGATAGAGTAGAGAATCCTGTCCCCTGCTAGCATCCTGTTTGCAATTTTTCTCTCTGTGTGGAAGCAGTGATCTCTCTGCAGAGGTCTGGCATGCCCCTTGCTGTGTCTGCGCTAGAGTTTTTCGATCAGCAGGGAGCAAGTGCTTTGCTGATTGCAAAGCTATATCTCTGACAGCAGGGGGCATGTTGGACCTCTGCAGAGAGATACCTGCTTCCCCACAGAAAGTTATTGTCCTTCTCCACAGCATGCTGGCCAGAGACAGGCTTTTTACACAGGCTACTTTATGATGAAAGCAAACTATAGGCAAACTTTGAACACCTTTTGTTTTGATGCTATGCATTTAGCCGATTTAGATTGAAAGTTAAATTGGGCTTTAAATAAACAGACTTGTAAATGAATCAAGGTGGCTTCAGAGATGAAGAACTTCCAAAACAGGAAAAATGAATGCTGAACTGTGTATTTGGTTCTTTCATTTCACAATGAATGTTTCACTTTTTCTTTTCAGTTTTTGTGATTGATCTAATGCTTCCATGGATTTTTCTCATCTCCCTTTTTCCACAAATTGATTTTGACTTGCAAGTAAATTGCTGAGCAGTAGATTTTAGAAATTATGCCAGTACTGAAAATCAAAGACATCTCACTCAATAATTAATATAGTAATCTAATATGTGTGGACATCTGAGATTTAAAGCCAAGCTCTAGGAGATGTAGAAACTACCAATGATCCTTAAATATATTTTTAAATAAAGCTGTGTACCTGAATTCTGCCTCTGTATTAGCTTTCTTTCTTTTCCTGCACTGCAGGACTGGGTTGAGAGAGAGTGGCACCACTGTTAACGTTATTGCACTGCAAAGTGGTGTCAATACTACTTACACTGGTAGCTTAAAAGTGAGATCCCTGGTAGACTTTGGCTTGCTCTTGGACCGGTCCCTGGAGTGTCTCTCCTCCTCCGTTGCAGCGAAGGATCCTTGAGCCATCACGTTCTATACACAGTGTATAGGACTTGAGGATGCTGATGGACACCCATTGCTGCAGCAGAGGGGAAGACAGGCTGGAGTGGGAGCTGTGACAGCCGGTCGGCTCTGCAGTTCGAGTGAGTATAACTGTTTTTTTTTTAGCACCTAAACAAAAATGAGCACTTAACCATTGGTGCGGGGGTAGCTCTACTACAAGGGTTAAGAACACTTTTGCCTGGAGTTCTGCTTTAAAAGTTGCAGAATCCCCTGAGCACCAGTTAATTCAGATATTCTGTTTTAGGGTGGATCCTTTCCATTGCAGTGTCCCATGGAGCCACCTTTGTTTGTGCTAGTAAGCGGTGTGTGTCTCCATGCACAGACACAGCAAGGCAAGCCACTTCCTGCTCTCCCCTCCTCATCCTCCGTTCTCCAAGCTAGTAGATGGACAGCTGCTGGAGACTACTCTGTCTTTTGTGATTTTGTACTGTACAGGAAGTTCAGGGAAGCTGAGCTGAGAGAGTTGGGGCTGTTTGGAAACATAATGACCGCAAGTGTTTTGGCAAAAATGTTAAGAACTACTTTGCTGGGCCCATCTATATTTTTTTTGGATCTGGATTCATTGTTGAAAAAAGTTTTAAAAAAAAGCATTTAATACTTTAAAGAGAATGCATTGTGGCTTTGTATGTATTGTTATTTTAATATTTATATTGGTTGGGACTACAATAATAAATGTTATTTTCTTTTTAGTCAAATATATATGAAATATCCCATATAGATAGAATGCAGTCCTTTATCCAGCAAGCAGGTGGCACTTTAAAAAAAACATATTTTCCTCTGTTGCGCACAGAGATCAATAGCTAAAGTTATAATGTACACAGAGTCACAGAGTAGTGACTCAAACTTCATGGAATGGCTCTATCTAAGGTTCCAAACACACAGGCTTAGTCCAAAAAAAGATAACTACTGTTTTATATGTTTTTTAAGCACCTGAATTTCAGTTGGCATGAGGCTCTTATGGTCCCTGTGCAGTTACACAAACTAAGAGGTGAAGAAGCAGTACAAGGAGCCAATCAGTATATGTGCTGACCAGGAGCATGCCGATAGAAGCAGAAAGCAGAGTGACAGTGACAGAGTGAGAGATGAGCTCATCACTTTGCTGCTTCTCCTTCACTGTCCAGTCACAGGCTGGTTGTGGCTCCATGACACCCTGTGCTCAGAGGAAGTGAGTTGAATGATGCTGGATATCATTCAGTACAGGAATCTGAGAAAATGTAGTGGCAGAAATAAGTATTGCGAGAGACAGCTCTGGACTGAAATTGAGTATTACAGTAAAAGCTGTTTTTTTTCATCTTTAACGGGCTATTGTTATTGGACTAGAGTTCTCCTTTAAGTGTCCGAAACAGGTAATAAATAAAAGGCACTAAAATACCCTTTCCATTACCGAAATCTTTCTGAAAAGTATGTAAAGACAGTTAGCGGTATAAGTAAAAAAAGACCAATAGGTTTATGTAGTGATGTTAGAATAAGGCAAAATAAGGGGAAAATCATTGTATAGGGAAAAGGATTGTTCTGATTCTGCCTAGCACTTTACAATATGTGTCTGAAGAACATGAGCTGAAATAATTGTATTACTGGGAGGTAAAAGCACAAAGTAAGAAGTAGGGCTACAGCAGGCTGTGTAAAAGGAGTGTGTTTGGCTCATTATCAATCCTAGTTGCTTTAACCTTTGACAATTTGCAGAGAATATTCTCTTAATAAGTAGTGAGTGCATGGGTAACGATATTAACGCATCCTGATTTCATTGCAGAGGAATATGGCACTGGCAGGAAAGCAGTATGAGGGATCCGTGAACAATTCCAGACCTGACATGTGGATTTCAGCTGTTCCTAATGGGAAAGATGACATTATCACAAGCCTTGTATCTGCCTTAGATTCAATGGTAAGAACCATTATTTGCATCATTTTAGGAACATTATATATGCATGTACTCTTTGTTTTTTTTAAATTGAAGAATGGAGTGTAAGTAACATTCAGCATGATAGGTGTATGAAGATTATTTGTATAATGAGGATAATCATATTACCTGAAAGGTAGGGTGGATGGTAGCTGGTTATACGCTTAACCCTCCATAGAGTATCAGGCTCCCTTTTATATATAGCAAGATGTAGTGAATTTGTGGGTCTGCAGGATGAGGCATTTTAGTAACTATTCTGCTTTAGAACCAATGGGTTTGGTTGAAGCTGTTGGCTAATTTTGTACGCTTTGCTTTGGAGGAAATATGCATTAAGAAGGGAACAGCTTAAAAGATGGGCAGCACAGTGGTTAGCACTTCTGTCTTCACTCCAGAAAGACATGCTGGAAGGTTAATTGGCTCCTGTCTAAATTGGCTCTGTATGTATGCATGTGAGATAGGGACCTTAGATTGTAAGCTGCTTGAGGGCAGGGACTCATGTGAATGTGCACTGTAAAGCACTGGGTACATTTCCAGGGCTATATATTTGACTATAAGAATAACTCCACATTTTGCAGAAAAATAAAAAATTTACACTTTTTCATGAACGAAAAAAAATGTGAATGTATTATTTTTTTGCATAAGAATCGGTAAAGTGTTGCAAGCGCGATCAGTAGATCACAAGTGCAATGCTCTGGCTCCCGTAGACTCTTCCTCCTATCCATGTCTGTGACGAGGTAGCATAGATGGGAGGTAGTGTCAATGGACTACAAGTATGGTGACATCATCACACTTCCATTAAGACTACAAGTCTCTTTGTCACGGTGGCTGAAGCCAGAGGATCAGTGAATGCGGGAAGCGGCTGTGTGGGCGGAGCCACGCACAGCCACACTAATTTTAAACACCATCAGCAGCATGCAGGGAGAAGAACCCAGCGTTTCAGGAGGGGGTGTCTGCGATCTGACAGTGTTTCATGTTACACCCTAATATGGGTTTAACATGAAACATGGTCAGAAACATGAAGAAGACACATGTGAGACACTCAAAAGAATTAACAATAAAGATCGTCACAGGGGACTTCAAATTTCAGTCTTCAAAACACTTTCTCAATCAAAGGATATGTAAATCCAAGAACAAAAATGTCCGCAGCTCACCAGTCCTTAGATGTGGTGGCTGCATTTGTTTTCTTTTTTTAGGCTAAGTGCATTTTCTACAAATACAGAAAAATAATTGTTTACCTTACCAGAATTACAGTGTCTTTGTAACTTCCTGTGCCCTGAACCGATATTGTAAATACCCCTGTTAGTTTTCCCTGCTACTTTCTGTGAACTACAAAATAACCCCTCCCTATGTAATGAAAATGAAGAGTGAAGGATGGGGCTAGTAGCCCAAATCAGTAGAGCAGCCTAATGACCATAAATGGCTTTCTCTTTAGGTACAGTGGAGTGAATGAGAGTAAGAACCTTAGTGTTATTGATAGGATTCCCAAGTGAAAATAAAGGAAAAAAAGCCTGAAAGAAGAAAATTAATGCAGCCACCACATCTAAGGACATATAAGCTGCAATATATTACAGCTTTTGTTTTTGGGTTTAGATTCTTTATTCTTTTTTTGCTTCACACATGAACAGTATAGCATAATTGACACTCAATCACCTATTTCTGCAACACATCCTGCTGCTACATTTCAGGTCAGTGAAGACCTTTTTTAAATCCAGAGTTGCTTTGAACCTGCGCCAAACCTTCTCCAACACTTTTAGGAATAAATATTCATAACACCAATCAGAGACTAGTGGGTGTGGAGACTTCCGCCAATCACAGGACTCCAATATGGCAGACCTGATAGGGAACTGCTCAAACTAGTGTTAACCAACCCCCTAAGTTCTCCATGGCATGTGAGAGGAACTATCTGAAATAGAGCAGCAATCCAAAGCCTTCAGAGACAGATCTAATGGGGAACTACTTGGTCCTGCAGTAACCAATTACAATCATGTTAAAAAAAAACTTTACCACAAGCAAAGAGATTCGTAGCAAATGCGAAAAGCTTCTTTCCCTGCAGACCTGACAGGCAATTATCTCCCTTAGTGTAAACCTATTAGACAACTCCTCAGTCACATGAGGTCAACAAATTATAATGTATGTCATCCCAAACATGATTCAGATGTAAACATCATCCCACAAAGGTCCTGTCATCAATTCTAAAATTACTAAACTTGACTTTTGAGATGTATGATATCTGGTCTCCATGTGCGTTATTCCAGGGCTGTACAAATCCCAGTAGCCAGGTAGCCAATTCTTCTTTAACTAACTTTAGAGGCTTTTTCTAGTTGTTGTCAATGTAGTTGGATCCTAAAAAATCCTGCTGGCTCCTGGATTGGACAGACTGGCTCCTAAATGCCATATTAATTTGTCCACTCCTGCTTTACTCACGCTTATTTTGTGATTTTCATTATTTTAACACTAAGCCACTGTAGTATCTTTTAGTGTCAATTACATTCTTTAAAGTGGATGTGAAAGGTAAAAATCTAAAATTGCTGGGAGGTAGGGATGTTTGGCAGAAGGCAAATGTCTCTTCTGCCAAAACAATTCTTCCTCTTTCCCCCAGCGATTTGTTAATTTTTGTGTTAAGTGTATGGCTAATTCACGGCATCTCTAAGATGCTGTGAATGGGCTAGGTGCTATGGAGAATGTAACTCCTGTGTACCCAATGGCCAAAGAGGACTCCCAAGAACCCAGAAGTGTCAACGGCAGAGGTGGGGGCAGTGGGGGACAGCACTGAGGACTGAAGATCGATCTGACAGCGCTGAAGAAGTGCACACTTTTAAGGTAAGCGTGACCTAATGTGCAAGTATGCTGCGCATACTTGCACATTAGGGCAACACAAAAAAAAATTCAAAGTGGTCTACTTCTGCTTTAACCAGTTGCCCTCCGCCCGTTGTATACGAGTCTCTCGAATACTTAATAGCTTAGTTAAACAAAATGTAAAAATCAAGGAATTCCCTACACTTATCACCTGTTTCTTCCATGCTTGTAGTAAACCCACATTTCATTCTGGTTAAGGCCAAGGCTAGCATCAGAATAATTAATGATTATAATGTGTTTCTTTTCTTTTCAGTGCACCGCACTTTCCAAACTGAATGCTGAAGTAGCCTGCATCGCAGTTCATGAAGAAAATTCATTTATTGTTGGGACCGACAAGGGGAAGATTTTTTTAAACTCCAGAAAAGAGCTTCGGACAGATTTCCAGCGGTTTTGCTGTAAGGTGTTCTACAGACAATTTGCAGTTATTTAACATACACATAAAGTGTTTCTGTAGCCAAAATTTATATTTTTGTTTTGAATATAATAGGGAAGAATTCAAACCTCTGTAAAGTTTTTATTGCTGCCTGTATCCCAACTTGGTATTTGTCCAGGTGACCGTTGTCACCCAGATGGAAAGTTATGGGAAATCCAAAATGTTATACTTGTCATTAAAAGAAGTGAGGGTAAATTCTCCAATGGGGACATCAGTTCTGGTGACAACTGTTAAAGTTGTCCCTTACTTTAAAGAGATTTCGTATCCCTTCCTGTTGCATCTCCAGAACAAGGAAGAGAAAGAAAATCTGCCACTGACAGTGGTTTTAACTCTTTCCTACTTTATCAAAAAATTTCAATAAAGTGCTAGTTATGAATACACTTTACGTTTTTTGGTAAGATTTCTGCATTATACACGGTCAAAAAAGACAACTACATTTTCTACTAAACTCAGCTGCTTCGTGATCATCAAATGTTCTAAGTTCTAATCAAGCTTTTTTTTAAAAATCATTGTTTGCAGTGAATGCCCTCAGAAAGGAGCAAGAGAATGATGTGCAAAGGAGAAGCAGGGACTGTGTCTGGAATGTGCAACGAGTTTCCCCTGGACCCAGCTCTGATATCTACCTTCTGAGAAAGATGGTGGAGGAGATCTTTGATGTGCTTTACAGTAAGAAGAAAATGTGACAACTTTCATCAGTAAATAAGAGAAAAATATACAATTTTACATTTTCAGAATTCTCTTTACACCCAGGTGTCCAAAATGGAGAAGCTTATGATAAAAAAAACTTTATCGCTTTATCATAAGCATGTCTTAAGTATGTAGTGGGATTGTCTCTGAATTTGTTTGAGAATTTAGGTGATTTTACACACTATTCTTTAGTGCAGTGTATATTTATTGGTCATTTTAGTTGGGTTTAACACTTGAGCACAGCTGCTGGGTGTTTTTTTTATATTTTCATTTTTACTTTTAGTTAGGCCGCGGATTATTTATTAAAGATTACTTGGATAATAAAGATTACTCAATACTTATGGGAACCCTATAATATACAAGCTGTGCAATAATCTCAAATATGATATGCATGGTATTAACAAAGTCACATATACAGTATGTGCAGGGGCTGACTGGCAACTTTTAGCCCAGGGCGCAAGTACAACCCAGAGGCCCATGGTGCGGCAACTTGGCCCCCTCCCGATCTGCCTCTTCCCCGCATTCTCCCCGCCCGTCTGCCACTTTTGCCATCCATGTAACAGTAGTGTGAATGTATTTATCGGTTTAGGAAATGTAAAGCACACTGGTAGTGGAGGGATGCCTCGTCAGGGATGTGCGTCTGCATGACTGCTGCGCCACTGGTAGTTCTGCCACTAACTCAGAAATACATTGTACAGCATTGCAGAATGGCATTGGCAATAGAGAAGAGTGCAGGCTTACCTGAGCAGTCTTCCAGCAACTTGCTTCTGAGATCGGGACTGTCTGTCGGTGGCTGTCATCCCCTCACGCCTGCTCCTCCTTACTTCTTCTCCGCGCGTCCCTGTGCCGATTGTGGATGTGGGCAGTGTGCGTGAGGCAGGGAGGAGGTGCGGCGTGTGGATGCGGGCGGGTCTGGCAGCATCAAGGGTGAGGTGGGGAGCAGGTGCGGCATGTGGATGCGGCCGGGTCTGGCAGCAGCAAGGGTGAGGTGGGGAGGAGGTGCGGCATGTGGATGCGGGC